ACACTATAGGTAATAACTACCTATAAGTATCTGTAAGTTAAAGGACTACAGAGACTAGCAGAGATCTGTTCCAGCTACACGGTCGAACTCTCCGCCTTCGGGCAGAGAGGAACCTGGACGAGGGTCTGCCGTTTATGCGGATTCTACGGGGATTTTTTGGCCGAGCCACGTTAAACCCGGCCTTGTGCCACATCTACTCTCGTGAGGGGGCTAGTAAATACCGACTAGCTCTTAGCTGTTGTTGAACTCTCTGCCTTCGGGCAGAGAGGAACCCGGAAGTGGCTAGACAGACCCTAACCCGTTTATGCGGGTTTACGGGGAATTTTTGGCCGAGCCCACGGGCTCGGATTTACCCACATTAAATTAGGCCTTGGTAAATATTACTAGATGGGATCTGTTGAGTACGACTCACGCGAGAACTACCGACCTTCTTGCGACGACCTTGTGCATAACTGTTACCTTTATTCTTATTGGACTGGTTTTTACAATAAAACTTTACTTATTGTATCCACCTTGTTTTTCAAGTATATATTCCTATTAGTCTTAAGGAATATAACATATATTACATTAACTTTACTGATTAATTCTTTGTATGATTACCTCTTTATAATATATATATTGTACCATATTATAAAATGGATTAAGTCCGACAATTATTTATATATATATATATATATATATATATATATATATTTATAACAATTTTATGGAAAAACTATGACAAAGTGGAAAACGTTTTAGTGTAACGCGTTTCGTCTTTTAGGACTTGGTCGGACTAAATTGATGTCTACAATGGTGTGAGGACACATGCGCATGAAGGGGCGCTGAAAAATTTTAAATAAGTATGTTTTTGAGTAAATAATCTTGCCGATTTCATTAAGTTTACTTTTCTTTTTATTTATTCTTCCATCACTTTTGATAACCCACATTGTGATAATAGAAAAACCTGACAAGAAAGGTGAAAATTTACGCAAATATATTGAGGCACGTCTAGCGATTATACCACTTTTCCATGAATAAAAAAAAGGATTAAATTATTAGCGCCCCTTCACTGTCGTGCGCATGCGTAGTCGTATCAATATTATTTTAATCCGATGAAGTTGTGAAGAACGAAATACGCCACATGACATTTTTCCACTTTTTCATAGATTTTTCCCTAAAATTGTTCTTATTATATCAACCTTTATATATTTCTCCCCATATATATGAAACATGAGAACTCTTATGTAGCGTTGGAATCATATTTTTAAATAAATAATTTTTATATATATATATATATATATATATATATATATATATATATATATATATGAACTTAGATATGTTCTACCACGGAATATGTGAATGAGCGGCGCAATATCGAGTCTAGTTCGCTACCTCATCGTCACAGAGGCCCGTTGGTACTGTTGGTATGACGTTTGCCTGTCAATGTAACTGTCCGGGTTTCAATTCCCGGTAGTGGATGCGCACTGCTGATCAGTCTCAAATTTAGGACGAAACAGCCGTCCAGTGCTTTCTGTATTCTAGACTCGATAAATTACTTATATATTTATGTAATTCATCGAGTCTATATATATATATACTGGCCAGAATATTCGATAAATCTTAATAAAGAAAAAGGTGTGCCCTCTGGCAGGATTCGAACCTGCGACACCCTTTTCCGGGGAAACCATCGTTAGATTCGTCGCCCTTCGTGGCCGATTTGGTTGAAAGCGCGTCTATTATTATTTTTGTTGTCAATTCTCAAGAACAAAGAAAATGTATAAATTCACTTTCATATGCTTTGATTTTATTACAATTCTAATCAACACTTTTTAAAACAATAAACATTGCCGAGGAGCGAAGGTAGTTAAAATAAAAACGATGTTATGCCTTTGGCACTCCGTTTATTTTGCGGCCATGATAGTTCATGTTTGCCAACGTTTTTTTTCCTTTCTCCAATTTGTATTCATCTTCGTTGTCATGTGTTTATATCGCTGAGGTATTGCTTTTCAAACGGCAACCCTTTTTTCTGATATATATATATATATATACCGTATGTTTTAGTCTTTTTTTCTTATTCTATCTTCCTCTGTCTATATTTGTTTTTATTTATTATATTCTTTCCATTTACTGGTATTATTTTCTCTTATAATAATCCGTTCCATATTCTTAAATATTTTGACAAGATGCAGTGCAATGTACAAGTGAATGGTGATTGCATTGGCTTCAATCGCGACCTCCCGATGACTTTGGAATCTCTTGCAACTCTTCTGGACGCTCTCTTTGGTGTTACAAGGTGTTTTGTTGGTCTCTCGCTAAACTGAGACCCACACATAATAATTAAGTGGGTTGTAGGGAGTTAGGAGGCCAGATGTAAGGGATGATGTGGTCGTAAAAAGTGTCTGACAGCCATGATTGGCTTCTCCTGCTTGTGTGGCATGGTGCAGAGTCCTGTTGCCAGACATAAGATTTTCCAGCAGCCATCCTTTTGACGTAAGGCAGCACTACCTTCTCAAGGCACTTGATGTAGGCCTCTGTGTTGAGTGTTAGTCCCTAACCAACTAATTCAAGGAGTTCTTATCATATATATATATATATATATATATATTTGGTTGGATAGATGTGAGTTTGTGACCTTGAGTTTCACGCTTTAGCGATCGTCAGACAAACTCCATTACGGAAAGCATATTAAATGAAAAGTACCGCGCTATATAAATAATTATACATATATATATTTATTTATATACACTTTTTACACTCTCTCTCTCTCTCTCTCTCTCTCACACACACACACACACACACACACACACACACACAGATGAAATAAATTTTATTTTTCAGACTTACCTCATCCGCTGGTACCACATCTGGCGCCCAGTTCATGTGAAAGACATCTTTCTTGATATCTGGTCGCATCTGGCAATGAGATATTGTTTTGAGTAAGTAAAGTGGAAATTAATTGTAAGTAAATGTCAAAGTACAAAACATGGTACAAATCACGTTATCGAAATTATGTTAACTATATATATATATATATATATATATATATATATATGAAAACTTAATCATGGGGTCATTATCGACGCCAAAATATTTCTGAAAACATTATTTAACAAAGAAATAACCGTTCAATATTAGTTGAATTCTTATTTCTCTATTTTTAGATGAATCACTGTCAAACATTATTATTAAGTAAGAGAAGAGCATTTCTATAAAGAGATTGTGGGATACAAATATAGGAAGCCCAATATACACATTATGATAAGGTCAGTTGGGATCAAATGTAGATCAAATAAGGATCAGAATCTGACAGGGTGATCAGATAAAGAACAAATAGGAAACGTTTATCAATCTAACATGTTTCAATTTTATTAAAGGCTGAACAGAGAATTAGATACGGTAAAAATGAAGAAAAAAATTCTGGTATTTTTACTTTTGTATTGTCTGATTTTCTACTGCTTCTTCACTTCCCCCGTCTTCTTTTTCTTCTTCTTCTTGTTTTCCTTGTTGTTGTTGTTCTTCTTTTCTTTGTTGTTGTTGTTGTTGTTCTTCTTCTTCTTGATCAATTCCCTTTTTCTTTTCCTTGTTGTTGTTGTTGTTCTTCTTGTTTTCCTTGTTGTTGTTGTTCTTCTTTTCTTTGTTGTTGTTGTTGTTGTTCTTCTTCTTCTTGATCAATTCCCTTTTTCTTTTCCTTGTTGTTGTTGTTCTTCTTCTTTTCCTTGTTGTTGTTGTTCTTCTTCTTTTCTTTGTTGTTGTTGTTGTTGTTCTTCTTCTTCTTGATCAATTCCCTTTTTCTTTTCCTTGTTGTTGTTGTTGTTGTTCTTCTTCTTCTTTTCCTTGTTGTTGTTGTTGTTCTTCTTCTTTTCTTTGTTGTTGTTGTTGTTCTTCTTCTTCTTCTTTTCTTTGTTGTTGTTGTTGTGGTTCTTCTTCTTCTTTTCCTTGTTGTTGTTGTTGTTCTTCTTCTTCTTTTCCTTGTTGTTGTTGTTGTTCTTCTTCTTCTTTTCTTTGTTGTTGTTGTTGTTCTTCTTCTTCTTTTCCTTGTTGTTGTTGTTGTTCTTCTTCTTCTTCTTTTCTTTGTTGTTGTTGTTGTTCTTCTTCTTCTTCTTTTCCTTGTTGTTGTTGTTGTTCTTCTTCTTTTCTTTGTTGTTGTTGTTCTTCTTCTTCTTCTTTTCTTTGTTGTTGTTGTTGTTCTTCTTCTTTTCTTTGTTGTTGTTGTTGTTCTTCTTCTTCTTCTTGATCAATTCACTTTTTCTTTTCCATGTTGTTGTTGTTCTTCTTCTTTTCTTTGTTGTTGTTGTTGTGGTTCTTCTTCTTCTCTTACTCCCTTCTTCTTCATGTTTTCTTTGTTGTTGTTGTTTTTCTTCTTCTTCCTCCTTCTTATTCTTTATCTCTTCCCTTTTTCTTTTCCTTGTTGTTGTTGTTCTTCTTCTTCTTAGTGTTGTTGATATTATTATTAATTGAGAGAGCAGCATGCCAGAAAGTGATTGTGGGTTGCAAATATACAAAGTTCAAAGTAACCATCATGGCACCAAGTCTGATAAAGGTGTACCCAGCACATGCACCACAGCCAAATGTGTGCAATACGGTGACAGATTATAAGTAAATGTCCCCACATATCTAGATATTTCTCCCAAGCCGCCTTGGTTGGCTTATCCTTTAAACTTAAAAAAAAAACGTAAATTCTCATAGGGCTAGTATGGGAACACTGGGTACTCTAAGAAACTCGTAAGCAAATAATATTCATTGTAGTGTTATGGTTAACAAGCTTCGTTCGCGGATCCTCGTGATTACGATCCTCATTGGTTGCCCTACGTATGTGACCCTTTACTAATCTAAGCTTAGTATATAACATTGGGCGCCTCGTTAATGAACTCGTCTGGCTAAGCATAATAAAGGAGGGCGTTCTATACACTCGGGGTCCCGTACGTTTGAGCCTTGTGCCCAAACGAAGTCATACTTAGTAACTTAGGTGGCTTGTCGTGATGTAATGTTTGACGAAATTGACTGAGTATTGAATTCGATTCTCACTGAGTATCTTGCATTTGATGAAGAACCCATTTTGAATTCACAGTATCTGTGTGTCTAATCTGAAATCATTTTAAAAATGTAAAAAATTCGTACAACATTTATGCACTCTGATATTAAAGGAAAGAAAGAAAAATTAATGTTTTTCTAAACCGTTTCACCCCCATGCAAGACGAGAGTGTCAATAAAACGCGGGGGACCACTGAGGAAGAAGGCGAGATTCATAGGGAAAAAGCAGTCCAACCCTCCCGCCCAATTTTCTTCAGTGAGGTCTTTGTCTTGGTAGCAGGCAGCTGACTTAAAAAATGAAGACTGGAGTAGAGAAGTTCTCTCAGATTATCTTGTACTCTCTATTCGCTGACGAGTAGTCGGCAACATTTCCCTGTTGGAAACAATAAAAATTCTCCATACAAACCACACGCGTTGTACCATTTAGTAGCTTTTACTTTTCTCGCTTTCTTTTACTAATTATTTTGTACAGATCTCAAATAAGCTTTCTTAAAGTTCGTCAAAACAAGAGAAAAGAATATATAGTACAATATCTGTGTATTAGATTTTATTGGTAGGGAAGTGACGTGTAAGAATAGAATCTTTGATTTTTCTGAGAGTTAATTGACATAGAACTGGTAAAAAACATTTTCCCCTTCGACGACTTGCAACATATTGGAAATTAAAACCAAGAAAGCCCGCCAGGGAAAACGTTTCCAGTTCAAATAACAATATTAAGAATCGGTTCAACATTCAATCCCTAAAAATATTTTTTCCAGCCAATAAAAAGCCTGTAAAACAAATTAAAATCTATCTGCGCCATTTTTATGGAAGTTGATCGTATAAAAAAAGGACACTTAATAGCATAGTCAAACACAGATTTAGCCAGGTCATTCATCCGACACGCCGTTTTGTCTAATCCTAGATGCTTCCCTTAACACCATGTACCTTTCGGTTCTGTGTCACATTTGGTAGTGACGTGGGCACACAGAAAAATACCCTTACCGCGATGGCACTGAAAATTCTAACATCAAAGGAAACGCTTTAACTCTTAACTGATAAGAACAAAAAAGAACTTTTTCAATTCGACTTTATTGCATCCTTTTTTAAATTATACAGTTATTGGGTTTCCGGTTCTTTCTAAAGTATTTCCTTCTCAAAAATCTTTTCATCCCCAAGCAAGGCGAAAGTGCTAATAAAACGCGAGGGACCACTGAGGAAGAAGGCGAGATGTCTCCCCGCCCAATTTTTCTCAATGAGGTTTTTGTCTTGGTAGCAGGCAGCTGACTTAAAAATGAAGACTGGAGTAGAGAAGTTCTCTCAGATTATCTCGTATTTCCTTTTCTTTTACTTCCAGTAGTATCTTGCTTGGGAAAATAATTTTGAAATGTATCTGATTTCTGTGATTTTAAGCTTACACGTCGAATTAATACAAAAATATGCTTTCTCCTTTGCACAGAAAAGTATAGGAGATTGGCAAATACATTTATTCTTGTTTAAAAATCTAAAGAGCATTACGTATGTACGGGGCATGTCTAAAAAGTAACGGGATTGGGTGTGCTTGGGAGCTATGAGCATCGTCTACAGTGATTTCATGTCACTGAGTTATAGAGGATGAATCTGCAAGATTTCCTGCGGCGTTTGTTTCGCTCAGTGCGCGAGATGGGATGAGTGTTGTGGCATGACAAATCTTGGGTTTTTCACCACGACAATGCACCTGAGCATCCGATAGTTCCTTGCCGAGAAGAACATCGCCGTACTGGAACAACCTCCCTATTCACCTGATCTTGTTCTGTGTGAGGGCCGTAACGACGGAGCTGAGGGTCATCCAAGAAGAATCCTTCCAGCAGTGCATAGAAACGTGACAGAGAAGGGTGGAAAAGTGCATTAAACTTGAGTGGGATTACTTTGAAAGGGAAACCATGTAATTTGTTGCTTGGAATTGAAATAAATTGTTTATGACATCAGTCCTGTTATTTTTCAGACAAACTTCGCAAACAAATAAATCTGTTGTTTGTTATATATATATATATATATATATATATATATATATATAACTTGTTTTTCTGTTTTTGCCATCCAGCTAAAAATATCGTCTCAACTCAAAAATGCCTATTTCTCAGACTTAGCGGACATACGCCAAGCATTGATAGCTAGTCGCGTTTTCCTACTTAAAACCCTCAATTAATATAATAAAATTATAGAGCTTGTGGAGTTAACTCACTTAGTTTTTTTTTTATTTAAAAACCGCCACTAGGGGACGCCTTCTGAACCTATAATTACATTGTAATATTTTCTATCATTCTCTTTTTCTTATTTCCCGTAGACACGCTAGTATGTGGGTCTATCGTGAAAACTCGTTTCCCATCGGTAAACGCACACAAACACGTACGTACGAAACTTCATTTTATTCAATTTTCTCTAGGTTTTCTACCCACATTTTACATACACAAACAATACACTAGTCTTTAAATGTTTTCAAGCATGTTCATTGTTTTGTCATATACACACACTATCATTGTCTTTGCCGCTCACAACTATGTAACTTTTTGTCTTGTTAATAATATATTATCGTTTGCTTGTTTGGTTTTAGTTGTTTCTTTGTATTTTATTACCCGGACTCACACATACATGTCCGCCATTTTTTGTTGTGGGATAAACATTCCAGGAGGCACGTGTTTTCGAACTCAAACACTCGACCAGCATCGCCAGCAATAAGTTATATTTGTAACAAATCTCTAAAATAAAACAACGGTTTTAGATTAATTACTGTCAAGAATAACACAATAATAAGAAGGAATAACTGTACACTTACTCGATCTGCAACGTGGTCCAATACTTTTTTAATTTTATTTGTCATGATGATATCTGCCTTGTTTGTAAGGGAAAACAGATTCACTTTTTCCAGGCTAGCTCTTTTATGCGGGTCAACTCTCTCCAAATCTTCTTCTAGTATGGAGAAACGCATTGTCTCCGCAAGTGGCTTCAGTGTAACTCGAACATGCTCTATGTTATTGATCGTGATGCACAGCTAATTAAAACAAAACAAAAAGCAAATATAATTAATAATTATATCGGTAAGGGTTTGGCACTAATGAACTTAACTGGTCCGCTCGTAAAAATAAACAAACAAAATAAATAAAAACAGGGGAAGCTTTTTGTCGGGGAATAAGTTTTGTAGATCAGCATTCATTAGAACTTCCTCTAACTACGACATTTGCCATTTGATTGATTGTTTCGTTTTTTACGGCTTATCAACTCTTTGCAGGTTATTTCAAGTCAGAAAATATTTTTAGATTCTATGATTTTTTTTTGTAAATAATAATGGCTAATTAACCCATAGTTGGGGGAGAAGAGGTGGATTCATATATTTCTCAAGGTTCGTTTTCTACAGCTTATCAACACATTACAGGTTATTTCAAGCCAGAAAATATTTTTGGATTGTAAGATTTTTTTCGTAGATAATAATGTTTTAGTGATATAAATTTTGCTAATTAACCCATAGCTGGGGGGAATGGTGGATTAATATCTTTCCCAGGAATAATTGCGCGTAAGTGAATATGATGAATCCAACTGGAATTGGAACTCGGACCATCCCGTACTTCCAAGCTTATAGCACCTGGTATTCCCAAGCGGTCACCCATCAAGGTACTGATCAGACTCGGCGTAGCTTAACTTCGGTGATCATGCGGAAACTGGTGTTTCAATGTGATGTAGACGTAAGTCATAAAATTTATCAGAATAGAAAATTATCAGGTTTTATTATTTTCGAATTGGGGGTCTTGTTCGTAATAGTAATACAGTATCAAATCGATCCCTGACTTTTTAAAAAGTTATCAGTACTTTGTTTTGATTTACAGATGTTCTTATGTCATTGATAACTGCTTATTAATACGAATTGATAAAAAGGTACAACTTATGTCTATGTCTTTTATAGATACTTATGTTTATGTTTTTTATAGACACGTATATCTATACTAATCATCTTCAGGTGTCCGTTATTTTGGCTGCTATAGAATATCGTGTATATTCTGGTTATTGTATTATTTTTGTACTTGTGATATTGTTTCTTGTTTGTTTCTGCTGACTCGATTTCACCACCTGATCTTAGATTGAACTCATAAATGTCAATTATAACTAAAAATTAACGTAAATGGAATGAACTATCAAAGGAGTTGTATAATTACCTGATCAGAAAGATCAAACTGTCTGTCCTCGTCATAGAAGCCAGTCGCATATAGTTTATCATGGATGAGTTCGGAATACATCACGGCATTGTCACAAATGTTCTGTAAATGATAAATCAAAAAGGTTGTAGTAATTCGTCACAAGGTTTCTGTAATGTATGCATTTACATGAAAGGACTCTTATAAAGGCTTTCTGTATTACACAAAGACGATCAATGAAACATAGATATAAAAGAATTCTTTTCTTTATTCGAAAATCTGAAACCTCTTCTTCCAAATTAATCTCTCTCCCTAAAACAAATCCGTAATAAACACAATTAAATTTCGAATAAAATCGCTTTATAAACAATCATTGCACATACACCAAAATTAAAATTGAAAAAAAAAAAAATTGAAAAAAATTTAATTTTAGTGGAAAATGCCAAAATAAAAACAGTTTTTGTATGACGCGTTTATTCTTTTAGAATTTCATCTAAGTTTGTTTACGTGGATGCGACAACACATGCGAGCAAACGAGAGATGCTGGGAATTCTAAATTTTAAAATAATTAAAAATATATTTATATTATATGTTTTAGGTATATGATCGAACCGATTTCATTTACATTCTTTTTCTTATTGTTTATGTTTCCATCACTTTTGTTATTAAATATCTCACATTGTGATAAGAAAAAGATTTGCTAAATCTTGATGTTACTCCTATGTGTTCTTTATGACAATCATTACAGTTAATAAGCTAAAACTTGAAGAAAGAATTTACTCTATTACTACCTGTAATAATTGCCCCAAAGAATACATCAGAGAAACCTCAAGAATTTTAAATAAAAGATTATATGAACACAAAAGGGATATTTTACAAAACAACACATTAAACGCATTAGTTCATCACCGTAATTCATTACTAACCACAATTTTTATATAAAAATGTTACTTTAATTAAAAGAGAAAACAATTCACTAAAACGAAAATGTTTAGAAAGTGCTTTAATTGCTAGTTCATTCATAGTAAATTTACGATCAGGTTCTTATAGCGTTTCATCATTCTTGGCAGATCTTCTATTACACAATGTGAAATATTTGATGAAAAAAGTGATGAAAAAAAGAAAAAGAATATAAGTGAAAACGGCTAGATTATATTGATTTTCTAAGCGTAGCTTAAATGTGATACAGTAGGGGTCACTCAGTGAGGATCGAACTCACTAATCAGTAGTAACTGTTTTAGCGAGATAAGCTTGCTAAAATTACACCACGCCGAGATGCCCCGAAAATGGCTAGATTATATACCTAAAACAAATATAAAAAATATATTTTTTAAATTTAAAATTCCCAGCGTCTCTCGTTCGTGCGCATGTGCAGTCGCATCAACGTAAGCACATTTTGTTCGATGAAATCCTAGAGGACGAGAAAATATAAAAATTTATATATCGTTATCCAATATAAAAAAAAGTAAAAAAAATAAATTAACTAAGTATATATGAAAATCTGAAAATCACCGTGAAAAAATACATTAATCAACTATACATAAAAAGATTAAAATATAGAAAAGTAAATTAACCCACTAGAAATGAAAAGTTAAAAAACACGTTAAGAAATGTACTAACCTGCTATATATTAAGAGCTTAAAAAACCTTGTAACTTTAATTAATTACAGCAATTATATATGAAAGTTTAAGACATATTGAAAAATAGATTAATCAACTATAAATGAAATGTTAAAAAAAAACAATGAGAAATAAATTAACCAATTAAAAGCTTAAAAAGTAATCCGTATGCTCAATGTAAAAATTCAGAGCAGATATGTTTGAATAAAAGACAGACCACGTTAAGATTCTATGTAATAAGCTATTTCACCATAACCCCTTTAACAGGGTTCTAGATCATCAGACTTTACTTCCAAAAGCTGAAATGAAAAATGAAAAGAAATTCACACGTTTTTTACGGACCTCATCAAGTATACGCAAAGTTAACGAAGTGAGGAAGTGAGGTGGGAGAGAGGATATGAGTGTGTCATATGTATCATTTTAGTTTCCTATTTTTAACCCCAGTGTGTCGGCTCGCTGTTGCTCAAATTTAACGCGTCTCGTTTCTAGATAAAGGTGGCTAAGGGGTGAACGATAACAACTACATTAAAGGAAGACGTTATAACAACCCCAATAAATTACACGACAGGTTTCATTCAAATTCTTAGACGCTGTCAGTTCGCGTTACTTTAATGTGCATATTTGGGAGGTTAAGGTTTGATAAATATCTAAATTTTATATATATATATATATATATATATATATATATATATATATATATAGTAGCGAGCATAAAGACCAGAACGATATAAAGAAAAAAGTCTAAATGTGAAATTTTATTTTAAAGCTTCATAGAACATTTTATCGAGGAAAAATAAGGATATAAATGTAAATTATATAATTCCAAAATATAAAGCTCAATAAACTCATTTTGATAAAGTTATAAGAATAATTATATAACATTCGAAAAACACACAGAAAAATCAAATTACCCGCGATAAATGAAAAGTTGAAAAACACGTTAAGTAATAAATTAATCAACTATATATTAAAAGCTTAATACTGTAGAATTCCTCATATCCGGAATCTCTCATATCCGGAATCTCTCATATCCGGAGTGCCCCATATCCGGAATCCCGCATATCCGGACATGATTTTGATGTGTATATTTGGACTATTTGGGTGACATGCGACTGATTTGAAATTTCTGTTTTTCAGGAAATTTACTTTGGATAATTGCTTATGCCTACTTCACCCTAATGGCTTGCATTGGTGCAAAAGATGATGGGAATAAGAGGAAAGGATGACAACGAGGCACATCTGCAACAATATAGCGACGAGATGCCTGATTGTGATGAAACCTGGACTGAAATTGAAAAAGCTATTGACAAGGTAGTCAGTTTTATGGAAAGAAAGCCAGCATTCAACTATGGCGATTGCAATAACGCCCGCAGTATTAAAAAGTGTATTTCGTTTAAGAAAAATCAAGACCAAAAGTAAAACGAAATGCGAAAATAGTTGAGAATGACATTAGAAGAGAAAGAGTCATCATGCAACAGCGATTAAAAAATCCTCGTTACATTATTTATTTTGCATACGTGGCATAATTAATTTAATGAATTTTCATTAACATTATATAATTTATTTCTTTTTTCTTAAAATCAATTCCGATATATATTTCACTCAACATTAGCTTATTTTGTTTACTATAAAACATTAAAAATAAATATTAAACCTGATTTCAGTTCTTTTATTTTAATCTAAATATAACCCCTCATATCCGGACTTTGTAACCAATTCCTCATATTCGGAAGGCTTTCTTAGTCCGGTTGTCAGGGATTCTACTGTAACATCTTGAAAAATTAACCAATTAAAATGTTTTAAAACATTTTGAAAAATAATTTAACCGACTATATATGAAAAACATCTTAGAAAATAAATTCTGTTCCGTTTATAATAAAATATTACGGTTTAAATAATTCAAATAATATTTCTTTTCCTCTTTGGATTTGATTCTCTGATGAAACTTTAATAAAAAGCGAAACATGTTGGATTTATCAAAGTTTCCTATTTGTACTTTTTCTATCAGTTTCTTTAATATATGCATTCCCATGAAATAACTTTAAGAAAGATTTCTGTATTGCACACAGAAGATCAATGAATCATAGATTATAAAGAATTATTTTCTTTACTCGAACAACAGAAATCTCTTCTTCCAAATCAATCTCTTTCACGAAAACAAATCCATAATAAACAATATTAATTCTCGAATGAAATCGCTTTATAAACAATCATTGCACATGTACCATAAATATAGACTTCAGATAAATATGAACTTGCCCCCTGATTTCGAGATACGGCATTCAAATTGTTTATCAATGAATCCGTACACATAATAAATTTTACGTAATCTTTAATACTGCCAAAATTATTTTCAAGCATTGCTAATGAAAGATCGGCAACATTGTCTCTTTATTTTTTAACTTTCAATGCATCCAGTAACAAAATGGTTTGGTTTGGTTTGTTTTACGGCATATCAACCTCAATGGGTTATTTAATACCGACAAGATTTTTATTGCTGGTAATATTTTTTACCAAAAATGTATTGTTGGTAACATCTTTTTCCTTCAGAATGCATTTCTGGTGATATTTATTTTCTATCAAAAAGTATTGCTGCTAATAATTTTTCCTCAAACAATTTATTGCTGGTATTAAAACCTATTTTTACACTTTCATATTGTTTTGGCCCCAGTTTAGGGGTTAACTATTTGCTTATAGTTGAAACCCTAACCGGTGCTACCGCCCCGCGTAAAGGGAGGACCTTGAAACACCAGCAATTAAGAGGGGATCTCATGCTCCTCAAAACCTCCTGATCAGAGGCCTTGCCGTTTGATGTAGTTTATCGTCTTACCCAGGACGCGGATGTAGTTTATCGTCATAGTCAGGACACGGATATAGTTTATCGTCAGGACGCGGATGTAGTTTATCGTCTTACCCAGGATGCGGATATAGTTTATCGTCATACCCAGGACGGGGTAAAAAAATGAATGGTTGTTCAAAAGTGTTGTACTTGTAAAACACAACTTACCTGAGTTAAGTTGGCAGTGAAAGAATATGCATCACATGCTTCTGGCCATTCTAAGTTTGTCCAAAAATCGACCATCTTGAAGGAAATGGAAAATGTTTAGTTTTCAAGCATGACGATTTGAAATCGCAGACAAAAGACCAAGTTATTAGTCGAATAAATACACGTACACATATGCACACACATAAAGATATTTTTTTTAAACGTTTCACCTCAAGCAAGGCGAGAAGCCACTAGGATGCAAGGGGTTACAGAAGATTTGGAGCAAGATCAGATAGGAGTGATAGAGAAAAGGATGAGGAGAAGGATAGTGGATAGATCAAGGCAACTGGAGATGTCGATTGGCATTATATTTGAATAGTTGGAGATTATAGCTATCAGGGAAACTGGAATAGGGAAGGGAGTTCAACAGGCGAGAGGTGCGAGACATGAAGCTATTAGAGTAGAAGAGACGGCTACATTTAGGAGTTTCGACAGTGAAGGGGTGAGAGCGGGATGCCAGCCTCGTAGGGTGATGGAACTCATGACGTCTGGGAACCAGCGAATGCAGCTCCTCGGAGCAATTGTCATGAAAGTATTTGTAAAACAGAGAGAGAGAGAGAGAGAGAGAGAGAGAGAGAGAGAGGCAACGGCGCGTCTGTGAGAGTGACTCTAGACGAGATGCCGGAGCAGGGACAATTATATTGCATATCCGCCTCTGGAGCCTATCAAGAACCCCGAGGCAAACAGAAGGGGCTCCAGACCATATATGGCAGCAATACTCCATGCAAGGGTGAATTGTTGATTTGTAGATCTGGAGGATCGATTCCGGGGAGAAAAATTTCCTGGCGCAGAACAGGGAGCCAAATGATTTGGGTTCACTGCCTTTTATGATACCGTATTTCCCGTATGCAAAGACGCACCCTATAATTAGCTTTGGAAAAAAAAGAACATTTAATAGCTTACAATACTATCAAGTCCATCTTTAATTGGGGCTAAAGATAGCTTGTTAATTTTGACGCCTCCAAAACGAAACTTCTCTCCATTAATAATTTGAGAGACCCTTGCCTTCCATCAGCATGGCTGATGCTATCCTCCAGGAAAATGAGTCGTTACGCTTTTTCAAGCAACATAAAGTGGGAGGACTATATTGAATCTATTGCTAGGTCAGATGCTTAAAAATTTGGTTTACTGTGTCGAGCGAGGCAATTTTTCTCCCTAGACTCTATCATACATATTCATAAGTCTATTATTCGTCCATATTTAGAATATTGCTGCCACATATGACCTGGTTCTATTTGATCAAAAGAAAAAATCAACAATATTATTGGTGTCTCGGATTCAGTCATTTCCCAAAGCCGTAAGGATACCTCTTTGTGCCTTTTCTATAAATAATTTCATGGTAATTGTTCGGATGAGCTCTTCGCTATGGTACCTCGACTTTATTGACAACAAGTTCTCACCAATTTACAATTGAATTGTCTAGATTATAACCGTAAGTTCTATGCTAACAGTTTCTTTTCTTGCACTTCTCTCTTGTGGAACCCTCTTCTGGTTCCATTCTTTCCAGTTAACTTTAATCTTCAAAATTATAAATGCAACGTCAATCGCTATCTACTGTATTACTGATTACTCTTCTATTGTTCTCACTCCTTAGAAATGTTTCTGTGTTCTAATTTTTTCACACCTGTCATATAGGAAGAAAATGAGTAACTACCGACCCCGAGGTTGGAGCGTGACACTCTGCCAGGTGTATAAATAACGGAGTCAAGCTAATTTTGGAAAGTAATAAAAATATGATATGTTATTCTGCTTTCACATTTGAATACATGGTAGATAATACTCAGCTTTTATACATATACATGTTTTTGTGGACATGATTAATAGAGGCGGTGATATGTGTATTTTATGGGGTAGTTTTGTTGAAGTTATATTTTGGAATAGAGTGATTATCGAGTGACTATTGAGTGGAACTATCAAGTCGAATTAGTGTGAATTATTGTGCGTCGATGATTTGGGTTTTGATTTAGGATTTACCGGACGTTAATCCGAGCCGCGCTACTAACAAGGTATTCACGGTAGTGGTTAATTATCTTTGGTTGTCTTTTACTTCTTTGTTCTTGTTAAGTATTTATTTGTGGTTGTAATTAAATACTGTTTTAGCTTAACATTAAAGTCTTGAGTTTCTGTCTATATTTCTGACATGAGGTATTATGTACATTATTTACATTATTCGGACTATTGTCCGCATCTTTGTCGCCATATTTATTACTGTGCCATGTGTTCTCAAGGACACATGACACAGTGGATAAAGGCGTTAGTAAGATTCAGTGACAGGACCCAAAGAGTGTGAGTTCAATACCCGGTTAAGGCAGTGGAGAACTTTCAGAGGGAAATTAACAGGATATAACTGATAACTGACATCCATTAAAGATGGCACGTGGAACTAGAACAATCTACCCCAGTGATCGAAATAAAGGGTTCAGTTCGACATTCCAACTGCCTGAAGAAGGCCGGAGCGTACAACGGCCGAAACGTTGTAATAAATATGGCGAAAAAGATGAGGACAATAGTCCGAATAATGTAAATAAAGTCTTGAGTTATACATAATTATTAACAGCCACCGTACGCCATTAAACACCCAATAACCTCTGCTATCTTAATGACTTTGCTACCACGCTTGGGGTAAATCTGATTAAAAACAATATAAAAAAGATATATGATGTGACTGTAAGCATTCGTTTGTTTTGATTTTAAATACACATTTTTTTTTACATTTCATATTTATTTTCTGGGATGAGATCAATTGATTTTTCTTTATTTGATTCCTATAGAAATTTTAAAAGCTAATGAATTTTTTATTTTTATTTATTTTGAAAATTAATGTCGGCAATGATTTTAGACAAATAGCATTATTCGGTTTGAGGTCAAAGAAGTCAAATTTAGCCTTCTGTCTAGTTTAATTTCTCAGTTTCATCAAAAAGTGTGTCGGGAAGTAGAGGCGACAAAAAAAAAAAAAAAAAAAATCCTCAGTAGCGCTTATAGAATCGTGGAAGGTATATTAACGCCATTAGATGGGAAAGTGATTATAAAGGTCGCGAAGGACATAGGAGATTTTCTAATCGAAGTAACTTAAAAGATAATCCTTTAAAAATATAAATAAAAGTTATAAACTGAGTTCAGTCTACTCAGGATAAACTTTGTATTAATTGAAAAAGTAAAGCGGGTAAATAAACACACACAAAACGCGCGCACACGTACACACGCATACACAAATCCTAATAATTTATAAGTTTCCCATTCGTTCATGCATTGAATATTGCTGTCACATCTGGTCTTGCTTCTGCTACGTAGTTAGAGATAAAATCCAAAGAAGAATCTGCAATGTTATCTATCTTGACCTGGCATCACGGTTTCAGTCATTTTCACTTAGTACCCCTTTTGCGTCCTAGTGGCTTTAGTGCCTTGACTCAGGGAGGGGGGGTTAAATACAATGTCAATCGTTATCTTCTGCCTTCTTAATTCTTGTTCTTTTATTGTCTTCTCTCCTTAATAGTAGTTTTTCTCATATTCTCATATTCTCTAACACTCAGTAAACCCCTTGCGTCCTAGTGGCTTTATTGCCTTTGATTTTCAAAAATTTAAATGCAAAGTCAATCGTTATCTTCTGTCTTCTTAATTCTTGTTCTTTTATTCTTGATAATGTTTTTTCTCTATTTTTTTGACATTCAGTAACCCCTTGCGTCTTAGCGGTTTTATTGCATTTCTTGGGGTGAAATGATTAAAAAAATTAGTGACATTAATAAAAATGTTGAAGAAAATATTTGAAACGCCACTTACGTGATGAAAAAGGCTGCAGACATCAACGGCTGAGGAACTGTATTTAGCATTCGAGATGTTACTATACACCTACAATAAAAGGAATGACGTATAAATATATAAGCTATAAGAGAAATTTCATCAGTGATCTCCCCTCCAAAAAAGACTATATGAGCATCGTAACACATCTAATTATAATGTCGATCTAATATATGCCTTTTTGATTAGAAGAGAAAATAATTCATTAAGAATAAAATCCATTGAAAGTGCACTGATCTCACAATTCTCTACGGTCAACCTCAGACCGGACTCATACACAATAATACCGATCATCGTAGTGGCAATAATAGCACGATGTCGTATACGGATAAAAACGACAAAAACAAAAAATAAAACAGTGACCTACTCGGAGTGGGCTAATTTAAAGTCGAGCAAACGTTAACGGCATAAATACTAAAAAAAATAAACATGCATGAAAAAGAACAATTTCTAGCTGTAACCTCTGATAAGGTCACTTATTGCTCCTTCCTCAATAATTTCAACGCACTTTCCTTACACACAGGCCGTTTCTCTCCATTGAAAATGAAGACGCCTGCTAGAAGGAGGTGAAACGCGTCGCCTGTATAAGCCTTTTCATTTTGTTTCAATATCTCTATATAATCGATAGAATTTTTAGCAATATGGACAGCACAAAAGCAATTGGCATTTTCTAAGCTTTCATTACTAACAAAACAAAGAAATATTTTTGCTAGAGTAAAATGAAATTAGAAAAGTCAATGAAAGTATAAAAATCTAGAGATTTTATTCTATTATTAAATTGTCAGGTCATATTAGGAAGACATTTTGTATATGTTAGAATATTTTGATTTGTTTGTTTAACGACATATCAACTCCTTATGAGTTATTTAATGCTGAACTTTAATTTTTGGGGAAGTTTGAAGTAATAAAGATATGGCATGTTATTCTGCTTTCACAATTGAATACATGGTAGATGATACTCAGCTTTTATACATTATACATGTTTGTGTGAGCATGATTACTAGAGGTGGTGATATGTGTGTTTTATGTGGTAGTTTTGTTGAAGTTATATTTTGGAATAGAATTTGATTTCTTTAAGAAATTGTATGAATTGATGTCATTATAGAGTTCTTTCATGTTCGTTGATTAGTTGATTGATTTTGTAAACGATTTTGGCATATCAACACCTCTATGGGTTATTTAATGACGAAATCTGAATATTTTGATTGGTTTGGATGGTTGTCTTTGTTTAGCGGCATATCAACAACTCTATGGGTTATTTAATGCCGAAATCTAAATATTTTGATTGGTTTGGTTGGTTGTCTTTGTTTAGCGACATATCAACACCTCTATGGGTTATTTAATGACGAAATCTGAATATTTTGATTGGTTTGGATGGTTGTCTTTGTTTAGCGGCATATCAACACCTCTATGGGTTATTTAATGACGAAATCTGAATATTTTGATTCGTTTGGATGGTTGTCTTTGTTTAGCGGCCTATCAACACCTCTATGGGTTATTTAATGCCGAAATCTAAATATTTTGATTGGTTTGGTTGGTTGTCTTTGTTTAGCGGCATATCAACACCTCGATGGGTTATTTAATGCCGAAATCTAAATATTTTGATTGGTTTGGTTGGTTGTCTTTATTTAGCGGCATATCAACACCTCTATGGGTTATTTAAGGCTGAAATCTAAATATTTTGATTGGTTTGGGTGGTTGTCTTTGTTTAGCGGCATATCAACATCTCTATGGGTTATTTAATGCCGAAATTTAAATATTTTGTTTATTGATCGGTTGTCTTTGTTTAGCGGCATACCAACACCTCTATGGGTTATTTAATGCCTAAATCTAAACACAATTTGATAGCTTCAACTAAATATATTTTGAATCCAATTGTACCATCAACTACAGATAAAATATATTGCTGGTTATTTTGCTTTAAAAATGTGTTGTTGGTCATTTTACTATAAATATGTATTGTTGGTCATTTTTTAATATAAATATGTACTGCTGGTATTTTGACTATAAAAATGTATTTTTATATTTTATAGTATTATGTTTTTGTTTGGGGTTTCAGTATTTGCATATGGCTGTGACTCTAACAGGTGCTACCATCCCAGTTCAGGGTGGCTCAGGGGACAACATCAATTCAAAACCTCCAATCCCCCGGATGTAGTTTATCATCATACCCAGGACTGGTATATTTTAGAATACATTTGTATTAATACTAGAATTATATAATAATGTTATAACTCAATGTACGAGATTTGCGTGCAACTGTTCGGAAAACCGCCCAAACAACGTGCGTGAGTGGTCGTAGGATTGAGGACATTAGTTACGATTCAGTTCAGTTCATTCTCCCTGGAGACGTCGGTAGGTGACGTACGCCTGTCAAGCTTGTGCCAAAACTGCTTTCAGTTGACCAAAAAGAAAATCGGGTTTCAGATGCGCAGGATCTCCTTGATTGTGTCGAGGAAGACGAAAACCTTTTGAGAACGGTCATAACAAGTGATGAATAGGCACCCCAACATGGTGCAATGGTTCGATCCTCACTGGGTGGCCAATACGTTCGGCCTTGTGGCACATCTAAGCTGCTCCTATAAAATGGCCTTGTAACACATCTAAGCTGCTCTTATAAAATCTTTGAGCTCTTCGACGCGCTAGACCAATTATGAGTCAGTAGTGAGTTCGATTCTCACTGGGTACTCCACAATTTCAGCCTTGTGCCACATCTAAGCTACGCTTATAAAATCTGAGCACTTAGATGTAGTGTAATGGTCAGCAACGTTGTCCCACTAGACCAGTTACGCCTGAGTAGTGAGTTCGATCCTCACTGAGTGCTCCACAATTTCGGCCTTGTGCCAAATCTAAGCTACGCTTATGAAATCTGAGCACTTACACGTAGTGTAATGGTCAGCAACGTTGTCTCGCTAGACCAATTACGACTGAGTAATGAGTTCGATCCTCACTGAGTGTTCCACAATTTCGGCCTTGTGCCACATATATAGTGTTAGATATAGCGTAATGGTTAGCAAGCTTGTCTCGCAAGATCAATTACGATTGAGTAGTGAGTTCTATCCTCAGTGAATGTTTCATACATTCGACCTTGAGCTTAGAAAGTCACCGTAACAGGTGACGAATCGTGGGTCGATGGCTATGACCCCGTAATCAAGACCGAGACCAAAGAAAGCACTGCTAATTTGAAGCAATGTCAAGCGACTACAAGGGCGTTATTCATCACGATCAGACAGTAAACAAGGAATATTACTGCGACGGATGCTGTTCGTCGGAAAAGAACAAAATTACATGCGGCCGGTGAGTGGCATCTTCACCATAGTTACGCACCTGCTCATTCAGCGCAGCTTGTTCAAAAGCTTTTGGCCAAGCACAACATTCCACAGGTTCGACAACCACTATGTTCCCCAGATCTCGGGAACTCTTGCGACATTTACTGTTTCCAAAAATCAAATCCCACTTAAAAGGAAAAAATATTTCAAGACGCTGAGAAAATACAAGTGAATGTGACGAGGCTCTTTCTTTTATGTACCATATCCTTTCAGCACGTAGGCGATCATGGCTCTCCACCTCCTTCTTTCCCTTGCAGCTCTCAACAAGTTCCTCCTCTCTGCTTCCTCCCCCAGACCACGTTATGTCCTCCACTTGCTTAAGTCCGCTTTCTTTTTTGTTTTCCCTTGTCTCTCTTTCTCTCTATTCGACCCGTGAGTATCAGATTCTCCAGGCCCTCATTATGCATCCCAGAAACTTCAGCTGCCTCTTCCTGATATTAAGTATAAGCCTTCTCCTTGTTTGCAACTTCTATAAGACCTCATCGTTGCTCACACGATCGGTCCATGTCATTATTAGCATCCTTCTGTAGAACCACATCTCTGTCGTCGCGAGTCTTTTCTTCATCTTTGAGGAAATCGTCCAACATTCGCTGCCGTAAAGAAGGACAGATGTCACGTAACAGATCAGTATTCTTTGCTTTGGTAAGAAATCTTCCTGTCTCGCAGTACTTTTTTCAGCTTTTGGAATGTGTTCTTGGCCATTCCAATACGTCTACGGATCTCAGTGTCGCACTTACCGTCCTTTGTCAAAATCCTTCCCAGATATTTAAACTTCCGTGTCTGCTTGATTCTAGTGTTTCCGACCTTCAAATCGTATTTTGGGCTCATCTTCTTATTGACAACCCCAAAAAGGAATTCCAAGAATATTTCACTCAATAGATGCTGGATAAAGTGTGTGGCTTAAGAAGGGGACTACTTCGTAAGAGATTAAATGCCGAATTGATATGTGTTGTAACTGATACTTTTTTGTCAGACTTCGTACATTGTATACCTGCATACGGTAGCGGGGAAAGAATCATTTTTTTTAGAATTAGTAAACAAAGCAATTTCTAAAGAAAGGGATGGATTTTTTATTTATTAATTCAACAGATTTTTTTTTACTTAGACGTAATTTTTAGCTGATATTTGTATTTGAGTAGTCGCTCCGTTTATTTATTAAACAATATATTAATTTATTTATATTCGTCTGTCGGATTGGATATTCAAGAAATACGGTAAAAGAAAAACAAATCGTTTTCTCTTTTCCGTAAGTTAAAGTGGGGGTCATAAAGCCAGAATTAAAAATATACTTGTAGGTATGTCTCGATTAACCAATTAAATATCAGATCTACGCTAAATAGAAAAATAAGGTCAGAGAATGGAGGTGGCGGAGTTATTTTTTTCATGTCACGATAAATGGCACATAGACATGGCAACATTTCCCTAAAAAATCATTTTTATCATAAGTTACCAACCAGCTCCTGAGAAAGTACAATCATAGTATTGAAACATGAAAAATGTTTTTATTATAATAAAAATATAATAGCTGGTCACTCGTATTCGGGGATACCCGTCTATTAGGGTGGTTAGCCAATCCCTAATTCAGACGCTCGCTCAGGCACATTTGTGTTTGTTCAACACCCACAGAGCCCAACTATGCTGAACAGACCTTAGTTACAGTTTCTGGGAGAGAGCGTGTTATCTAGCGTGATAAACTATCTGAACAAAGCCAGCACTCTCAAAACCTCGTCCACGAGGACTTGTGACTTCGTTCTAACATAGCTATCGACGCCCCCACCCAAGTGTTCCGTCAACCCAATTTCACTGACAAGGCTTGGGTCAACCCGTGGTATAGTTTTCAGGCACTTTCCAAAGGTGCCGCACGCTGGGATCGTTCCATGATAACATCAGTCTTCTTCCTGACAAATCAACCGTGGTGAGATTCGAACCCGCGTCTCATGGTCAGAAAACGAACGTCCTAACCATTCGGCTATAATTTTTTCTCTATCAAGGACAGTTTACAGCAGTCACATCTTACCATATCAACTTCAACAGCCTTGGTCACTCTGGCAGTGGCCTTTACTTGGGCAGTGAGTAACCATTTCTGTACAGCGAAACGGAACCATTCATAGTATCTTGTAATGCCCAGCGACTCCTGCTCCCTGTGAATAAAACAATAATTAAAAAGTAACGTCTATATTTAAGGTTTAAGTTAAATAAAAAATACAACAAAAAACAAAAAAAAAAACAAAACAAACAAAAACAATAAAACAAAAACAAGCAATCATCAATAACGATCATCTTAACAATTCTTCTCTTATATGCCATGAGGTCATGAAGGTAAACCAATAGACAACAAGACCCAGTGCATCTACACCAAGAAGACATCAAGGAAGTCGATATGCTTATCTACCTGGGAAGCGTCGTTAGTAAAGATGGGTAGGGGGAGATGAAGACATCAAGTGCGGAATTAACAAAGCCCGACATGCTTTCAACACTCTGCGGCCAATCTTTCACTTTACAACAAGATCCGGATCTTCAACACCAACATCAAGTCGGCCTTACTTTACGGCACAGAAACCTGGAGGGTAACGAAGACCAACACCCACATACTTCAGGCACTTACCAACCGATGTCTCAGGAACATCCTCAATATCAGGTGCCCGGAAGTAGTCTCCAATGACCAACTGTGGGACAGAACCAGACAAGTCCCAATCGAGATTGACATCTAGAAACGGAAATGGGGATGGATCGGTTCTTTTGGCCATAAGTGTATTCTCCTTCAACCGATGTCTCAGGAACATCCTCAATATCAGGTGCCCGGAAGTAGTCTCCAATGACCAACTGTGGGACAGAACCAGACAAGTCCCAATCGAGATTGACATCTAGAAACGGAAATGGGGATGGATCGGTTCTTTTTGGCCATAAGTGTATTCTCCTTCAACCGATGTCTCAGGAACATCCTCAATATCAGGTGACCGGAAGTCGTCTCCAACGACCAACTATGGGACAGGACCAGACAGGCCCCAATCGAGATTGACATCTAGAAACGGAAATGGGGATGGATCGGTTCTTTTGGCCATTAGTGTATTCTCCTTCAACCGATGTCTCAGGAACCTTCTCAATATCAAGTGACCGGAAGTCGTCTCCAACGACCAACTATGAAACAGGACCAGACAAACCCCAATCGAGATTGACATCTAGAAACGGAAATGGTGATGGATCGGTCACACATTCCTCACACCTGCTTCTAGTGTCACCAGACAGGACCTTGACTGAAATCCACAAGGGAAGCAAAAAGTGCGTCGACCAAAACAGACTTGGCGCAGAAGTGTTGACGTAGGGGTGAACGCAGCCGGTACGACATGGGACGAGCTGAAGAGGATCGTCCGGAACCGTGTCCATTGGAGAGGTATTGTTGCCCAAGGAATCAAGAGGCATAGAAGTAGTAGTATGCCATATCCTTTTAGGACGCCGGTGATTATATCGCCGCCCCCACTAGCTCCCTTTCTTTTGTTACTCTAAGCCTGCCCTGAATGGCTCGCTTAATTGGTCTTTCATGTGGAAAATAACGTTTCGTAAAGTTTTATTTTGTTTCGTTCTCACTTGTTCACTCACATACTCTCTCGTACATAACGACATGCATAAAAAATGATACAAGTACAATGTTTCTTGAATTTTGTAAATTTTCGGGGGTGCTAACGTTGTCAGCATTATAAACCATTGGCGATTTTCACTAAGGAAGATCATACGTGCAAACATCTTTTGCTTTTGAAACAGGAAACGTTCGTAAGAATCTTTACTCTAAAGAAGGAAGAATTTTCATGTGATAATCACAATATCATCAGTGATAATATTATACCAAGATTTCAATATTTTAATTATAAAAAATCTTTTCTAAAAAATAAAATTTTCCTACAATTTCTAAGATATATGTTTATGCAAATGGTCTTATGTAGTGACAGTAGCTAAGGTATCGACGACGAAAAATTGCCTTGAATCTTTTTATCATTTGTTGAGCCATAGATCATGTGGCCCACAGCTAGAAAAAGGTAGCCCATGCCTTCAGTCTAATTAATTCTTGTCCGTTTAATAACTTTGTGCTGCGGTCCTTGTTCTGTCATAAATACAGTTAAGCAGGTAAATGTTTTTGTTTAATTCATTGGCCTTCAAAATACCATGTGATTGTTAAATTCTCCAAGCCGTCTTTTCTCATAGGTTCCAGAAATTTCAGGTGACGTTTTGTTTTTTGAAAGTCAGCTAAATTTCCCTTGTAGTTCTTATTTTCTTGAAATATCTCCTCGTCAGTAACATGTCCTGCCCATGTTTTTCTTAGAATACGTGCGTAGAAAAACATCACTGTCGTTTCAAGTCTGTTCTTCATCTGTGTGAAAATTGTTCTGCATATTTTCCTGTACCTTAATACTTTGCTTTGGTTCTGGGAGACATCTTTCGCCATTTCTATCCGTCTTAGGTTTCCTTGTACAGTGGAGCCTCGGATCACGGACAAATCGATTCACAAACAAACTTTCCAAATAAAAAAAAAAACACTCTCTAGTGACGAAAAAGAATCCCACCAGAAAACCTGTTTTTTATGAAAGGTGTCTCTCTTTCTAAATAATAATTATATCTCCCTTTTCCCCTTCCTCACCACCTTCCACTTACGTCATCAAATCTCCTCCGTATAGGTAAATCTTAAATTAAGTTCTCACCTATATTTTATCTGTTTAGTATTGTGTTCTTATTTGGCATTGGATTTAAATAATGGTTTCATTGATGGTTCATTGTTTTTTTGCACGAACTTGTGCCCCAAATACCGTTGCAAAAGTTTAAATAAGAAATCATCTGGTGCTCATGAACGAATTAATCCATTTTACATTGATTCCTATCATGAAAATACTTTCGGTTCACGAACAACCTACAGGAATGAATTAAATTCGTGAACCGAGGTTCCATTATAGTTCCTATTTTCCTTAAGGTTTTCTCATTCATCACATGTTATGTCCATGTCATTCCTGGGTAGGAACACATCTCTGTGGCTTAAAATCTCTTGTTCATAGTAAGTCTGATCGGTTTGTAGCGGAGCGTGGGTTTACGTGTTGTTAAATTAGGAACACGTGTGTAACTCCTGATAGAATATTAAAAGGTCCACTACAAGAATATGGCGGACTCAAGTTGAGTCCAACCGAAAATGTAAAGAAAACAAACAAGACTATATATATACAACAAGTATATGTATTAAACAATAAAATTTACGATGGACAAAGACATCAACATTTATGTTTGTGTGCGAACGTAAAGAGTTTGTATTTTCACAAATGTTCGTACGTACGTGTATGTGTGTCTCGTGGCGTTTTCCCACAAGTGGGCAAAACGCAGATCTCTGCGAGAGATCACATTTTGTAAATGTATCCATTGAAATGCAAAGTAAAAAGAGAACGAGGCAAGAAATCGCTCAGTATTTGTAGTGTAGGGAGAGCGCTCCCTGGTGAACCATTAGGAAATTAAGGGGGGTTTAACTCCAACAGATTTCATGGGGTCAAATTGGCAACTGAGCTAAAAAATGACCTACACAAATCTTCCTGTTCCTGAATATTATATTTAGATTTTGCTAATCCAATGCGGCCCAGTAAACAACAGATTGTTAACTGGAGCAAAGAATGTCTTGCAATCTTAACACCTCCAAAACGAAACTGCTTGCTTTTAATCGTCTTAGAGAGACCTTTTTGCCGGCCATCAGAACGGCTGATGCTAACCACCAGGAGAGTGACTAATTGCACCTTCCGTGCTAACGTTTTCAGCTGACATGAATTAGAAAGATTATATTGAATCAACTGCCAGATCTGCTGCTAAGATAATTGGTTAACCTGAGTCGTGCTAGACATTTTTTTTATTGTCAGAAAGATAATTGGTTAACCTGATTCATCTGGTGCTAAGATTGAGACATTTTTTTATTGTCAGAATATATCTAACATATTTATAAGTCTACCATTCATCCATGCTTTGAATATTCCTTCATCTGGTCTGGTGCTCCTATATATTTAGGGGATTCTTTAAAAATCCAAAGAATATTCTATCTTACATATTTATAATACCATTTCTTTGCTTTGAATATTCCTACATCTGGTCTGGTGCTCTTGCATATATATATTTAGAGATTCTTGATATTACATATTTATAAGTCTACCATTCATCCCTTTGAATACGAAGAATTTATTCAAAGAATATTCTACATATTTATAAACCTACCATTCATCTTTACCATTCATCCATGCTTTGAATATTCCTGCCACATCTGGTCTGGTGCTCTTGATATATATTTAGAATTCTTGATCTTGATAAATCTATCAAAGAATATTCTATCATTCATCCATATTTTATAAGTTCTTGCTATATTTAGGGGATTCATTCATCTTACATATTTTTGAATATTCATCTTTGCTTTACACATCTGGTCTGGTGATCTTCTATATATTTAGAGATTCTTGATAAAATCTTTACGAAGAATCTATTCTTACATATTTATAAGTCTACCATTCATCTTTGCTTTGAATATTCCTGCCACATCTGGTGCTCTTACTATATATTTGGATAAAATCCACGAAGAATCTATCTTACATATTTATAAGTCTACCATTCATCCATGCTTTGAATATTACTTACATCTGGTCTGGTGCTCTTGCTATATATTTAGAGATTCTTGATAAAATCTTACATATTTATAAGTCTACCAATGCTTTGAATATTACTGCTAATCTATCTATATATTTATTTAAAATAAGTCTACCATATTCATCCATTCTTTGCTTTGAATATTCCTGCCACATCTGGTCTGGTGATCTTGATCTATCTTATATTTAGATTCATCTTTTGCTTTGATAAAATCCTACTAAAGAAGAATCTATCTTACCATTCATCCATGCTTTGAATATTCCTGCTACATCTGGTCTGGTGATCCATTCTTGATAAAATCAAAGAATATTCTATTTGCATATTTTGAATATGTTTTGCTGCCACATCTGGTCTGGTGATCTTGCTATATATTTAGAGATTCTTGATAAAATCCTACATATTTATAAGAATGTTTGCTTTGAAATCTATCTTACATATTTATAAGTCTACTTTGAATATTCTGGTCTGGTGCTCTTGCTATATATTTAGA